TGTATTATAAACCTGTCTAACATACCGTAAAAGAACATTATACCCGTAATAAACACAGCTATCATCACACACCCCTCCCCACGCCCCCCCCCATTTGCCAGTGAGGAGACAAGAAAGGCAAAGTGACCGCGAGATTGGGCTATTTATAGCCGTGGAGGTGGTCAGTAATGCATATCGGTATATTTACTGATAATAATACTTATCTCCCATAAATAATTAATTTAAAATTTATTTTTTTACAAGGAATATTCAGTAAATGACTGCATTAATTCTTGAAACTACCGACAGTTAAATACATACGCTTAAGTGACGTCACTAGTGTTTACAATACACCAGCTGGTAACATTTGATGCCATTACTTGAAGTGAATTGGCCTTATTTTAAGTAACTAACCATAAATAAATACAAAAAGTAAATAAAAGATCAAAAGTGAGAAATAATATACTGTATGTATGTTGTGTTGTCAAAGTTAGAGGAACAATTGAAACTGCAATTGTGTGTAAATGAGGCAGAAAGTCAGGTCAGCGCTGAACCTGGGACTTGGTCACAATTTTCTTGATGCCATATGGCAGCAGGGTCTACCATTAGACAACACATTATGCTTCCAATATCTTCCCAGGCGGTAGTATCTACCTGTTTGGTAGCTGCCTACTAACTACACAATTTTTAGTAATATTACTTTGATACATAATAAATTAGACAAACAATGAAAATAAACATCAAATTTAATTACCAAGACGCTTCCCATTGGCAGCTGTAAGAAGAGGGGGAGATGGGCTATTTTTATCCCGTCTTTGTGTCTGAAGTGGCCAGTAATACCATATATTTACTGATCATAATACTTATCTCCTATAAATAATTAATTTAAAATTTATTTTTTACATAGAATATTCAGTAAATGACTTTTAAATAAATAAACAAATAATTCGGTAAATCTATTTCAAGTAAATGGAAAATAAGCAAACAAATGTTATTTACCACCACCCCTTCCCTCTGGCTCAGAGTGAGATGGAGGGGAGATAAAGAAGGCTATTTATAGCCCGTCTTTGTGTCTGAAGTCACCAGTACTCTAATGCACCATAAATAATTCATTTAACATTTATTTTTATATATATATATATATCATATATATATATATATATATATATATATATATATATATATATATATATATTATATATATCATATATATATATATACTCATGTTTTTAGGTCACCCTGTATATTTAAGCCTCTCTCTGTCTATGTAATCCAGTTGCCTCTGAAGATGTCTTGAATAAAGACGAAAGCTAAGGTACTCCGTTGTTTCCATTTTCCCGTGTGATTTTATCAAGATATATATATGTATATATATATATATATATATATATATATATATATATATATATATATATATATATATATATATATATATATATATATATATATATATATATATATATATATATATATATTTATATATATATATATATATAATAAATGTATGTAGTAAGTACAACCGTAATCTTTTTCACTCAAATCCTAATGAAACACCACAATTAGAATACAGTGGTAGTTGTTGGTAGCTGTTGTATAAACAGTGGGAACACAGTCCCACCACCGAGACGAGGGAACACTCCCACCACCGATCGTCTCGTGCGAAGCAAGCGTATAAATTAAAGAAAATACTTGCAGTGTGTTTAATATGTTACAGTATATTATAAATAAATAAATAAACAAATAAATCGGTAAATCCATTTCAAGTAAATGGAAAAATTTTACTCGACACCGACATTAGTTCCAGTTACCGGTAAATAGCAGACGCTTCAGTGACGTCACTAGTGTTTACACTACACCATCGGGTAACATTTGATGACATTACTTGAAGTGAATTGGCCTTATTTTAAAAAACCAAGGATGGTTGGTAAAGGACTACTGAGTCAGTGGGTAAGTGTCACATTTGGGGTACTGGTCTTATACAGCGAATAGAGCTCAAAAGCTACTTTTTAAATGGAAATTTGGGGGGGCCCGTCTTATGCACCCCGACGCCTTATAGGCCGAGATATACGGTATACATAAGCAACATAGACTGCAACATAAATAAATTTGCTGAGACACTAAAATAGGGCGTGTAATTAAATCTGATGAGGATTCCACAAAACTACAGGAAGATCTATAAAAAATTTGGCATGGTCTGAAAAAGTAGAATAAAATTTAATGTGGACAAATGTAAAGTACTTAGCCTAGGAGATGTAAACAGAGAAACCAGATATCAGATAATCATTTTGATATGGAGAAATGAGACTGCGAGAAAGATTTATGGGTAATCGTAAGTAGGAATCTTAAACCAAGACAATAATGCGTACGTATTTTCTCGAAACAAGGCTAACAAAGTACTTGGGTTCATAAAAAGAAGTGTTATTTACAAGACTAGCGAGGTTATCCTAAAATTATATCTTACGCTTGTGAGACCTCACTTGAATTATACAGTTCAGTTTTGGTCACCGTTCTACAGAAAGGATATTGAATTCCTAGAGAGCATAGAAGAAGATGACAAGAATAATCCTGGGCATTAAGCACCTTAAGTATAGACAGATTAAAGCATCAGAATTTGCACTCCCTCGAGAGACATAGAATGAAAGGTGATAGGATTGAGGTGTATAAATGGAAGTCAGGGATAAACAAAGGTGATATAACAAAGGTACGTAAATTATCCAACCAGGAACAAACTCATAGCAACGGTTTTAAATTAAACCTATTTAGATTTAGGCACGAGATAGGCAAACACTACATTGGAAATAGAGTAATGAAAGAGTGGAACAAGTTACTAAACACCATCATTAACTCAAACATGCTGGGTAACTTCAAATCTAGGTTGGATGGATATATAAGCGATAGGGGTTGGGAGTAAACGGTACTGCCCAGTATGGGCCAATCAGCCCCCTGCAGTTTCCTTCATTCTTTTGTTCTTATCTCATAGGCAGCAGCTGACTGTCAACGTATGCTATGGGGATTTTTACAGTATTACTACTCATGTAAATAATAATAATAATAATAATAATAATAATAATAATAATAATAATAATAATAATAATAATAATAATAATAATAATAATATTAATAATAATACATGTATTAATAACGACAATAATAATAATAATAATAATAATAATAATAATAATAATAATAATAATAATAATAATAATAATAGAGTATAGTCTCGATTTATGCGGATTTGGTTTACACGGTTCATTCCATCATTTACGCAGGAAGCGGCTTGGGCAGGGTGCGCACAAGGTCGCCCAGTCAACAAAACATTACCGAGTTCTTCACCCGCCACCCACCACAGCCAGCCCAAGTCAGTGATAGTGAGGATATGGACTTTGAGGGGTTTGACAAAGAGGCCCTGCAAGCCTCTGTGGTGGATAGTGATACAGGTGATACAAGTGATACAGGTGAAGGTCAATAATCTGCCCTCTGCCTCAGAACCAAACCCAATCCCCGTGTACCCAGCCATCTCTTCTAATAATTAAGTGTTATAAAACCTAATATTATTGATATTTCTCTTAACTATTAATTATATGTGCATACCATCATAAAATTAAGATGTTATTTTTACTACAACGTACGTAACGTATTGTGTCTGGGTGAAGTATAATTTGTTTATTTACTGAAGATATTTGCTTTTAGCTCATAAAATTCATAGAAATTGCCAGGCCAGAATATAATTTACATTGCTGGAATTCTTATAAGATAGTGATTAATTTGAATATAAACAAGCTAAAATTTGCATTAGACATACAAATTTTAGATCTAATTTAAGAATTTTATTAAAGAGAGCAAAAATTTTATCTTTTGTGCAAAATATATGACGTTTATATTCAAATTATTCGCAGTCTTGCAAGGAATCCAGCAATGTCAATTATATTATCCTAAACATAGTCTGAGGTATTATTTATTACTAAACCTAAAAACCTAGTCTTTTCACCCAAACATTTCTCAAGAGCGTGGGAAGACGGGGGAGGAGGAGTTGAGTCCATTATTTGAATGAACATTAACCAGCGAATGTATTTCTCTTAAATATTGTGTGTGCATACCATTATAAAATTAAGATGTTGGTTTTACTACAACGAACTATTGTGTTGGAAAAAGTGTAGTTTGGGGGTCGGCCCAGTCTCTATTTCAATTAATCCCATATGTTCTGTTATTTCGTTTACGTATTTCTCGTTTTATGCGGACCTTCACGGGTTCAATTGACCGCGTAAATGAAGACTATGCTGTAATAATAATATTAATGGTTGCCCCTCGTGTAACGAAGATGGCTGGCCCAAGGGCCACCTAGGCGTGAATTTGATTAAGGTGTAGAAGCTGTCACCAACACAACAACCACACCCTGAATTAACGAGCTGCATGACCCAGTGTCAAGGAATAGTCCGAGAAGACCGGACAACTCACTAACTGCACTGGCTAACCATTACTCTGGAATACGATCTGCAAATCGATTAACATCCAGGTTCCCAATTAATGCTGGGTAGGCAGAGGCAAATGGTGTAAAGAAACTTGCCCATAGTTTCACCCTGCCCGGGAATAGAACCCGGGTCCACTCGCTTGCGAGGCGAGCATGCTGATCATTACAACAACGGTCGCCATACTCGTACGTACACACACACACACACCTCCTATCTCTTCCACTAGATTAATTTCTGAATTATTATGCATATTTATGTTTAGGATAGTATGAATAAAGTTTATTGTTGTGTTATAATTTATGTATTTGTGACATTGTAGAATCAAGATTTTGTTGTGAGGAAACCTATCTCCACTTATATAATGGAAGTCAATGGAAGTATTTGGTTCACGATACAGATTTTGATTTATGGTTAGATTTTATGGAACCCAACCCTTCCGTATATTTGAGGATGATTGCACAGTACTACCAAATGCAAAATTACCCACCACTAAATAAAATGGAGACAAATTAAATACCAGAAAGAGTAGTTAGACAATTTGTGAGTGTGTACCTGCCAGTAAATTTCCATTCTATCCACTGTCCTGTCTGGAAGCGATACTCGAAGAGGTCATTCTGGTTCTTGAGGTTACTATTGCTATGGATGTCACCTGTAAACCCTCCAAACACAAACATTGAAGATTCGTGTACCTGTTACAAATGGGGAGAGTAATGATTAAGATTCACAGACCTATACAGTATATGTCTTGTTTTTAACTTATCTATCTACACACTGTCTTTTAGCTATATTCATCATGACTCTTCAAGAAAAACTTCTTTAAAAATCATTTCAATATCTTTCCACAATTACTCTATCAATAGCTATACTGCAGCTACAGATTTTTCACTACTTTGTTTCATCACATGTAAGTTATGGTGGTAGAGTAGGGTCGGGATATATAGCGATTTTTTTATATCGTGACTACCAAAATTATTGACATTTTCCAATATATAGCGATAAATTTATTTATTTCAAAAGGGAAATCGGGCAGGAAATATTTAAAATTTAACGCCATGGCAAACAAATGCGTTATTTGCTCACCAGAGGCACCACCGTGGCTGCTCACTCAAGCATTCACGCTCGCCCGCTCAGTCTTTCTGAGTGAGTGACAAGTAAGCAGCCGACTTTGCTGCAGATTATGACTTCTAAGGTGAGTGTAAATGAGTTGCTAGTGACGTGAAAAGTGAAGTGAAGAGAATGGAAAGCTTAATGGAAAAGATTTAAAACTGTAACTAATATTTTTGGTTTGTTCATTTATGTAGGTGTGAGATTGTCAAGTGAGGGTGGCAGAGTGGAGTCTGCTGCCGAGTCTGGTGTTCCCGGGATGGTGAGTCAGCTACCGAGTCTGGTGTTCCCGGGATGGTGAGTCAGCTACCGAGTCTGGTGTTCCTTGATATTGATATTGAAACAGCCTGTTGTTCCCGAGTCTAGTGTTCATTGTTGCTTTAGTTAGTAAGAAAATAAACTCGTTAAGTCAAGTTTAGTCACTTATATTGGCCTCCAGAATCTAACCCTATTTTCCCTATTAATTATATGTAAATATATATCGTGATTTAGTATATGGCAAACATCCTTGGACCCTATCTCGCGATATATCCCAACCCTACTGTACAGTATAAATGAATGGATTCCTAATGTTATACCAAAAGTTATTAAGTAAAAGTACAAATAAAGCCTACAAATCAAATACATACTTATGGTTCATAAAACACATCCCCTCACCACTGCTGAATGATGGTAGCGTGGAGCTGGAGGTGTTCCTGTAGAAAATGCTCGTCCCCACGACTTCTCTTTAACATCAAAACGCAGCAAATCATTCAACATCCACTTGCCATTGTCACCTCCAAACACATATATGGCATCCTTATATGCCACTACTGTGTGCTTGCTTCGTCTGCAGGCATAACATTAGGTTTCATTAATAGAGAACAAGGAGTATACAGTATTCTTGTAAAATCTAAGGATTATCATTAACTAAGTTTGAAACTATTGTAGTTGTTTTACAGTTCTATTTGCCTTGGAGAGTATATATGATGTTTATATATTTATGTGCCTCTTAATAGTTAGTTATGTAAGCCAAACGAGGTGCCAACAAAACTTCTTTAACTATAATTGACAGCAGAAAACACTTAAGGTAGTACAAAATAAGACACAGATACCTGGCACCCACGAATTCATCACATTCTGGCATACACTTCCATCTGTGCACGGTCTCAAAAGGGCCAAAGTCTAGGGTGAGACACTCTGCTGATTCAGGCCAATTATGGTCAAACTCCAGTCCAGGAGGTCCAGCTATGGCCATGACTTAAATGCTGCTGCTCTTCCCTGAAAAATAGGGTACACAGTAACAAATAAATAAGAGCAGTTACACTTTGTGACAGTATCGAGCTTGCTTTTGTACTCATATGAACACAAGTTGTCTGAGCAGAGCACCTTAACAAAAGGTGAAAAAAATGATGGAACATCTTTGGAACCTTGAGATGTCAGGATAACCAAAAAGTCTAGATAACATAACAGTCCCCAGGTACTGCAGAACTGATTACTGAAAAAAACCCAATTACTAATAGGAATTAGATGAATGTTTAACTGTATAGTTCCCCATCTGATTTCCATACATCACCAGTACTTATAGGCACTGAAGTGTATTACTAGCTGGATAGAGAAGGTAACAGAGTTGTTGTTTACATTCACTCATGTCCTTATCAATCTTTACTGTAGCAGAAATGAACTAAAATAGATTATCTTTTTGTCATAAAATGTCACTCATGGCTGACTTTTCAATCTTAAACTCACAATAAATCTTTACTCTGGATGTATCGTACCGGATCCTACACATGATGACTATTTCTATCGATACTCAACACCTTTCACATTTACTTCTTTTCAGTGCCTGTTGAGGAATGTGTTGAAGCCATACTAACCTAACCTAACCCAACCATCAGGTCCCGGACGACCCCTCCCGAAGCTAAACCATCATTATTACCAGAGGCCAACTAGTAACTCCACCACCAAAGACCAACCAATAACCCTACCAGAGGCCAACCAGTAAACCCACCACCAGAGACCAACCAATAATCCCACCAGAAGCCAACCAATAACCCCACCAGAGGCCAGACAGTAAGCCCACCACCAGAGACCAACCAATAACCCCACCAGATGCCAGCCAGTAAGCCCACCACCAGAGACCTACCAATAACCCCACCAGAAGCCAACCAGTAATCCCACCACAAGAGGCAAACCAATAACCCCACCAGAGGCCAGCCAATAACCCCACCAGAGGCCAACCAAACTAACAACCCCACCAGAGGCCACAACCAGTAATCCCACCACCAGAGGCCAAACCAATAACCCCACCAGAGGCCAAATCCCCACCACCAGAGGCCAACCATTAACCCCACCAGAGGCCAAACTAGTACACACCACCCAGAGGCCAACCAGTAATAAGCCCACCACCAGAGGTCAAATTATCAACCCCACCAGAGGCCAACCAGTAAGTCCACCACCAGAGGCCAAACTAACAACCCCACCAGAAGTCAAAACTGGTAGTAAGCCCACCACCAGAGGCCAACCATTAACCCCCACCAGAGGCCAACCAGTAAGCTCCACCACCAGAGGCCAACCAATAACCCCACCAGAGACCAAATCCAGTAAGCCCACCAACAGAGGCCAAACCAATAACCCCACCAGAGACCAAACCAGTGGGCCTCCACCACCAGAAACCAGCCAGTAAGCTCACCACCAGATGCCAGCCAGCAACCCTGCACTCATCAGAGACCAACCAGCAAGCTCACCACACCAAAGGCCAAATCCAAGCCCACCACCAGAGGCCAAACCAGGAAGCCCCACCACCAGAGACCAGCCAGTAAGCTCCACCACCAGAGGCCAGCCAGTAACCCCACCAACAGAGGCCAACCAGTATGCTCACCACCAGAGGCCAGCCAGTAACCCCACCACCAGCGGCTAACCAGTAGGCTCACCACCAGAGGCCAACCAGTAACCCCACCACCAGAGGCCAACCAGCAAGCTCACCACCAGAGGCCAACCAGTAAGCCCACCACCAGAGGCCAACCAGTAAGCCCACCACCAGAGGCCAACAAGTAACCCTACCTCCAGAGGCCAACCAGTAAGCTTGTAGTGGATTTCTCCCCTACAAACGCTTGTCGCCGAGTAGCCGACCCCGCGAATACCTCAGTGTATGCCTCGTGGTCTAGGTAAACCAGCGCCGCCTTCATGACGGAGATCAACTATTAAGCCACGCCTACCTCCGCTATAAAAGACCTGACCTCGTGGTGACCACTCTCTTTTCTACTTACAGCCACCAGCAAGCAATACCTCCTCCTACTCCTCCTGCCTGGCGGTCCTCGCTCCCTCCGGCGACCATGGCAACCCACAAGCTGGTCCTCCTCTGAGCACCCTCACCAACCAGCTCTCTCTACATCACGCTTGTAACCACGCTGCCACTTCCCAGCACCAACCTGCACTGTACATCCAATATAACATGTATACAGAGAGCACATTGCGAGTTTCCTTTCTCCATCCCATTCTGAGTGTGAACCAAATAACCTGTTCCCCACAAATGGTGACCGCTGGAGATTCGCACTCACACAGGATGGAGGAGAAACAGATCACGCTCCCAGTCTTCAAGCAACATGGAAGGCTGGCTTACCCACACAGAGGCAGCTCTCATCGGCTCTACAGCTACTGTCTCTACACCGCAGGTTAGACACCCTTGAGCAGCACTGCTTCTCTAAGCAGACACCAGCTCCTCTTCCTGCCCCAAGCACCACGTCCTACAGACCTCAGCACACCCGTCCTGCCTCAGACGCCGCCCCCGGCCCAGCAGTACCCCCTGCCGCTCCTCCTGATGCAGCCCCTGCTCCTGACGTGGCCCATGCGCCTGAGTGCGGACCCACACACCCCTCTTTTCTCCCTCAGGTACCCCCTGCTACTGTCCTGCACCCTGCTGCTGTCGTGGACCCAGCTGCTGTCACGAGCCCTCGTCCGCTTCTGCTGACGCAGCCTCTGCTCCTGACCCAGGCCCACACACCCCAGCAGGCGCATCTGACGACTCTGTACCTGCCGTGAGGGAAGCACAACATTCATCGCCTCCACACACCCTTTTTCTCCCTCTCTACTCCCACAGATATTGTGTATCTAGACAGTTGTATCCAGCGACCGGCTCATCCACGCCATCGTCGTTATTGCTCACATGTGGCATGCACCGCCCGTTCTGCCTGACATGTGCCATGCAACCCTGCAGACAACAAGTCTCCTACACCGCCTGGAGGGAAGGGGGAGTTTTGTAGTGGATTTCTCCCCTACAAACGCTTGTCGCTGAGTAGCCGACCCCGCGAATTCCCCAGTGTATGCCTCGTGGTCTAGGTCAACCAGCGCCGCCTTACATGACGGAGGTCAACTATTAAGCCACGCCTACCTCCGCTATAAAAGACCTGACCCCGTGGTGACCACTCTCTTTTCTACTTACAGCCACCAGCAAGCAACATCTCCTCCTACTCCTCCTCCTGCCTGGCGGTCCTCGCTCCCTCCGGCGACCATGGCGACCCACAAGCTGGTCCTCCTCTGAGCACCCTCACCAACCAGCTCTCTCTACTCAACACTTGTAACCATGCTGCCTTCCCAGCACCAAGCTGCATTGTACATCTAATACAATATGTATACAGAGAGCACATTGTGAGTTTCCTTTCTCCATCCCATCCTGAGTGTGAACCCAAACATCACGTACCCCACAAGCTCACCACCAGAGGCCAACCAGTAAGCCCATCAACAGAGGCCAAACAGTAAGCCCACCAACAGAGGCCAACCAGTAAGCCCACCACCAAAGGCCAACCAGTAAGCCCACCACCAGAGGCCAACAAGTAACCCCACCACCAGAGGCCAGACCAGTACCTCCCCACCACCAAAGACCAGAGGTCAACCAGTAAGCCCACCACCAGAGGCCAACAAGTAACCCCACCACCAGAGGCCAGAATAGTACTTCCCCACTACCAGAGGTCAACCAGTAATCCCACCACCAGAGGCCAGACCAGTACCTCCCCACCACAAAAGGCCGGACTAGTTCTTCCCCACCTCCAGAAGTCAACTAGTAACCCCACCACCAGAGGCCAGACCAGCATTTCCCCACCACCAGAGGCCAACCAGTAACCCCACACCAGAGGCCAGACCAGTACTTCCCCACCACCAGAGGCCAACCAGAAACCCCACCACCAGAGGCCAGACCAGTACTTCCCCGCCACCAGAGACCTGAATAGTACCTCCCCACCACCAGAGGCCAGACCAGTAACCCCACCACCAGAGACCTGAATAGTACCTCCCCATCACCAGAGGCCGGACTAGTACTTCCCCACCACCAGAGGCCAACCAGTAACCCACCAGCACCTCTCCAACACCAGAGGACAACCAGTACCTTCCTTACCACCAGAGGCCAGCCAAGAACCTGGTAAAAACTAATTTTTAAACAAATTTCCCCAGTTGGTATGATTAATTATTTTTCTATTGTATTTTGATGTTTTTAAATTGATTCTAACATTCGTTTCTTGCGAAAATTAGCATTTTTTCGATTTTTATGAAGAATCGAAAAACACTCAAAAAGTCTCATTTCCACAAGAAACAAATGTTAGAAACAATTTAAAAACACAAAAATACACAAGAAAAATAATTTATCATTCCAAAAGAGAACTAACCTCCTATTGTCGTATACCTATCTGGGGGGGGGGGAGACCTGACCTAACCTAACCTACTACCCTTATTGGGATAAAAATGAATACAGTATTAACCAAGAACCTCACCACCAGAGGCCAACCAAGAACCACACCACCGGAGACCAACCAAGAACCCCACCAACAGAGGCAAACCAAGAATCCCACCACCAGACCAACCAAGAACCCCACCACCAGACCAACCAAGAACCCCACCACCAGAGGCCAACCAAGGTTTTCCACCAACAGAGGCCAACCAAGATCCCCACCACCAAAGGCCAACCAGTACCTACCTACTATCAATGAAATTTACTACCTGATAAAGTATTTAATTCTCTCTCTTAATAACAAAATACGACGGGTTTCATCTAAATAAGTATATTATTTGATAATATGGAGACCAATTAATACCCTGATAACCGTAAATGCCGAGTATATTAAAATTATACGTTTAAAGTAACAGACCTCAAACTGTTGTTTATCAAAGGTGTATTGACGTCAACCTCGTAGGGTTCTCACACTCACCCGATGCTGCGAACGTTTGCTATGGTATATACAGTACTGTTTATTAATAGGTATATAACTGATGGCTTGATAGGTAGACAGATAAATAGATAGATAGACAGGCACCGATAAAATATGTATATATTGACAGTTACAATGATAAGCGGATAGGTATGACTTTGCTTGGGAGATTGGTATCCCCGCATCCCCTGAGCAACGCTCTTGTGCATTATGCAGAAGACCCGACAGCAGCACCCTTATCCACTACCTCCTAAGATGTCCCCACACACAACGCTTCCGTGACGCCTGCTGGACCACCACTCCACGACCCCCTGACGGAGACACGATGATCCTCCCCATACTGGCCAGATATTTTGTAAATAATATTGATTATGTGTTAAAGGAATATCCTTCCTTCCTTAGGCTTTAGTAAGCCCCTTTATAATATTTATACTGTATATACTTGTGACACTTGCCAGTTGCTTCTGGTGTTATGGTACAGGGGTACCTAGTGACAGCACAAGGATCCCGCTTCCTCTATCAAGGAATAAACAATTGAAATTGAAATTGAATTGATAGATAGATATGTAGATAGTCATTTTTTTCCACTTTGCCACTGATCGGCTAGTTTGCCTCCTACTTTTATCCTCAAACCACTGATCGGCTCGTTAGCCGCTTGGGCGATCGGTCACGTCTCTGTTACTTTTCTTTTTCTTTTATCCTCTTCGCCAATTGAACGGCTCGTTAGCCGCTTGGGCGATCGGTCACGCCTCTGTTACGCAGTACGCACTATTGGCAAGTACTGGGCAAGCACAGGCTCCTGAACGTACCTGAACCTGCTCCAGTGTTGGTCAAGTCTCAAGTCTGGTCTTGAAAGAGCTCACACTCGGTGCCGTCACAACACTTTCTGGTAGATTGTTCCAAGAGTTCACAACTCTAACTCCGAAAAAGTTTGCCCTCACAGTTTTCTGGACCTGCGGCTTCTTCAATCTTGAACTGTGACCCCTTGTGGAGCGAACGTCCTCCAGGAGGCGTATCAATGTCCCAACGGGATGAGAAAACTGCACTATTCGAGACTGAATGTGAGAAGAACCTAGGTGTGTATGTTGACAATGAGCTGAAGTTCTCGGGCCATTGCGAGAAGAAGGTAAATCAGGCAAATGAATTATTGGGTCTCATAAGAAGGTCGTTCAGAAATCTAGACGGTCCGTCCCTCGGAACGATCTTCATGAGTGAAGTGCTTCCCCATCTGGAGTAGTGTCACCCTGTCTGGTCCCCGAGATATGCTAGAGACTGTCAGTTGGTTGAAAATGTTCAAAGGAGGGCCACCAGACACTGTGCCTGCCCTTCGGCACCTCAGCTACCCTGAGATTGGAGTGCCTGAACTTGCCTAGCTTATTCTACAGACGGGCAAGGGGTGACCAAATAGAGGTGTAAAAGCATCTCAAGGGGCACTAATCAGTCGAGTGTGCTTACTTGGAGCTGGCGGACGCTCGCCCCACAAGGGGTCACAGCTCAAGATTAAAGAAGCCGCAAGTCCAGAAAACTGTGAGGGCAAACTTTTTAGGAGTGAGAGTTATGAACTCTTGGAACAATCTACCAGAGAGTGTTGTGACGGCACCTAGTGTGAGCTTTTTCAAGACAAGACTTGACCAACACTGGAGCGGGTTCAGGTACATTCAGGAGCCGGTGCATGCCCAGTACTTGCCAACAGTGTGTGACAGAGACGTGACCGATCGCCCAAGCGGCTAACGAGCCGATCAGTGGGAAAAAAAAAAAAAAAAATATATATATATATATATATATATATATATATATATATATATATATATATATATATATATATATATATATATATATATATATATATATATATATATATATATATATATATATATATATATATATATATATATATATATATATATATATATTTTTCCATCAGGCCTTTTAGACTCTGATGATGGTCTGATGATGGAAAAGGATTATTTCCGAAACGTAAGCAATTAAAAGAAGCCCTACTTCAAGATGTTTGTTTATCCTGGTTCTCCTCTTCATTATAAAACTACTTTTTCCACGCAACAAGTCCATTGCTGACGTTTTATATATATATATATATATATATATATATATATATATATATATATATATATATATATATATATATATATATATATATATATATATATATATATATATATATATATATATATATATATATAAACCACCTGTCCTCAAGTACTGTACTGGCTTCCGAATGAAAAACCTTACCTAACTTAACCTAAATCTACCATTCTTAAATTAACGCTAACCTAAGCTATCCTATCGTAACTTAACACCAACTAACCTAACCTGACTTATGAATAACAAAATAATTAGAAAATAAATATGACTACTACACGAGGGATGAGTTGTAACTATTAATATGAGTGTGTAGGAATAAGTTCCAGCAATGTTTTAAGGTAATTGTGATTTATATATTTTAACTTTATTCCTCTTATGATTTATTATTTTATATTAATTTCTATTTTATTTTTCGGGAATTAATTTTATTCGTTAATGGGTTGCAGTTATGGTGTGTCTTAAGCCTCAATGTTTGTTATGAATGACCAAGTGATAAATGTTCTATTAATAACACGATCAACAGTACTAAACTTTAACAATTTGTATTTGGAAACGAGATTACTCAGATTTTTACAAAATTGTAGTCGTATTGTTATAAAAATCAAAGTAATGATTGTTTAAATGATTGAATTTTACATTAACGGTGAAAATAGTTTTGATAGTGTTCGTGGAATTATTTTAACATGTTGTTTTGGTCGCCCTCTAGAGACGATCATCGTTTATTCAGGTAATATTGTTAGTTAATATTACTATTCATATAAGATTGTTATACGTGTGAGGTTACCACATTTCATGTTTTATATCTATTAGGTTAATACATAGGACTAACCCGCCAGGGCTGCACCGATGCGGCCGTATCATCTCACGTCTAGAAAATGCCTCGAATTTCACCATATCAGAGTAAGTTCTTTCTGTTATTATACCGGGGACGTTGGGTAAGGTTTGTTTGGTTTGGTTGGCTAGGTGTGTTCTTCATACCCACAAATGTTAAGTAGCTTTTATTTAAAAAATATAAATTTTTTAACATATTTCCCCAAACTACACCAGTGTCCACTATAATATAACAATGAAAATCTGGCGTTTTTATAATTGTTTTCAATCAATTTCGCTCGCTGGTCAGTCTTATATAATTACCTTATATTATTATATTAGTGGGCCCAAATCAATCTCTTAATTAAAAACACGTTTTTCGCAGAGTTCAGACTAATCTAACACACTTTTGTTCAATGGCATTTTCTTCGGAAATGAATGTTGGAATGGGTCCCACTTATGCAAATTTATCTTTTTTTTTTTTACAGTCAGTCAGTTGTGAAAGATATAGCCAAGTATTCTGGGTAATTTACTGCCATTCTAGTGTGTGTGTGTGTGTGTGTAAAACAAGAGACAGACCACGGTAAAGATTTCGGAAAAAGATAACCACAGAATTGTATATTGATTTCTATATCGGGAGATAAAACAAAGGTAATTATTTCCGACTTCACCGTCACTGATTTTTCATGGAAAATGAATTTAAAAACGCCACAGTTTCACTGTGTTTTATAGCGAACACTGTCGTAGTTATGACAAATTTATCAGAAGTGTTTATTTAAAAGTTCAAGTTAACCTAACCTAACCTCGCATAACTTAGCACCTGCCGTGGGTGAACTCGCTGTTATCGAGACATGAGGAAGCGGCTGTGAAGTCCTCCATATTAGCCAAAACAAAATAGGTAATGTCTGAGAACAGCACTACCACAAGGAGTTGTTCGATTTTGTTAATTCTTTTCTACGTATGTTCTTATCATAATAGTAATTATTTTGGTATTATTTTAGTTTTGGTCGTCCAGGGAATCAGTTTGATTAGATAAGGTTAGTTTGGATATCTAAATACAGGGATGACCGAAACTAAAATTTTACCAGTACAGTCGACCCTCGTTAATTCGGACTAATAGGGTGGGGGTGTCCGTTTTAGCCGATTGCCCGAATTAACCGATTTAGGTTAGGTTAGGTTAGGAAATATAGTACCTTATATACACTGTACGCTGAACATAATACACAATAACAAAAATACAGGAAATACTGTGCTGTAAACATCATATAACTAGCTATATATAACATTACAATACAGTATGTTAATTTCATTTACCTTTGTTAGGTGACAGATGAGTTTGATGTGGTGGAGGTGGGGGGTAGAGGTGATAACGTGTTATTTGGAGTCAGTAGAGTTATGATGCTCCACTGGTCCTTGTCCCCCACTCGTAGAAGGCTGAGGTGACTGAGGATGACCTGAGTCAGCAGCAGGCTCAACAGCTGCAGCAGGGTTGGGATGAACTGACTTGAAGAATGAGTCTAGTTTCATTTGTTTACCTTGATGATGCTGCCTCTGGATAATGAGTTCCCTAAAGGCTCTAAAATGTTGATAGTAGTACTGAACATCATCGGTTTCTGCTGACAATTCAATGTAAGAAATGACATTATCAGTGGATTCTCATATAACAGAGAGTTGCTGCACAAACCACTTCGTCACTGCCTCCTCAAGATTTGTATCTTTTGCCACTCATACGCTTCCTTGCACCAACAGATGATGATTTAGAAGTTGCATCAACATTATATTTCAAAGAAAATGCAATGAGTTTGTCCTTAGCCTTGCGTATGTCCAAAACTGTTTGCTTTTTAACACCATACTCATCACAAACTCTAGACACCAAAGCACCAGCCTCTAACTTCCTTATAAGTTCCAGTTTCTGGTTCACAGAAAGGGTCACATACTTCCTCTTCGGCGTTTTACTCCCCCTTGAAGACATGATGTAAAATACAAGGTGTCATGGTTTTGGGGTGGTTCGGTGGTAGTAGGAGTGGATTATATTATATAAGGATAATAATATGTCGTATTTCTTATTTCTTACCGTAGAGTCCGATACCTTCACACTGATTACTTACAGGAGATTATGGCGTATCTACGTAGAAGTTCACTCCACCACTCGACATTCCATGATTTATACTTGATAAATGATGATTTAATGAATTCATTTAATTTTCAACATCCATCTAAGTTATTGGTTATACTATGTCATAACCAATCAGTCATTACCTTCAGTAATAATAAGATAGGATCACAGATATGGGCAGATAATTGCACTTACATTTATTTGTCAAGCTTCCATACAATGATTTACAATTTGCATGGATATATGATTCACTCACGTTCACGCTGTAATAAAATTAAGCTTCTAAAAGAGAATTTTAACTTGGTGACACATGTGATTACTCTATTATGGGTATAACTTAACAGAGCCTTAATTCTTCAAGTGATACATTTACTGCCAGCCTGGATTGCTTTTGTTGCAACCAGGCTTCCGCACAAGAACTTCTTTCCACGGGCCACAGCAACAAAAAGTACTCTTGGGTTACCACACATGGTGTCGTGCAGGAGAACTCTGTAAGCGTGACTTGAATTAACCAATAGACCAGCCTGGATTGCTTTTGTCGCAACCAGGCTTCCACACGTGATATTTCCACGGGGATAAAAAACCTAGGTTAACACGCTTAGTCTCGTGTCGATCACGGTCACGGTAGACGGGTGTCGTGCAGGAGAACTCTGTAAGCGTGAATTAATTAACCATTTACTGTAGGTTTGATAGGCCAGCCTGGATTGCTCTTGTCGCAACCAGGCATCCACACGTGATATTTCCACGGGGATAACAACCTAGGTTAACACGCTTAGCCTCGTGTCGACGACGGTTCACAGGACGGAGTGGCGTGGAGTACTCTGTGTGGTGTGGTGTCCCGCCCCCCCTTCAGGAGGGAGAGGATGGAGACGACGTCTTAACTAACCCATGGCTCAGGGGATACTACTTAAAATGAGGTTTTTGGGTGTGAAGCGATGAACAGTACAACACTGTTTCACTGCCCACCCCCCTAAAGGCTGGCTGACATACACTAATTGAAAAATACATGTCCCAGTTATGCCTCGCCGGGTGTCTTATCTCTGGTAAAACAAACTTTGGAGTTGGTTGCATGGGTAAGCCTAACGCAACCCATGACACAAGGCTGAAAGATGCCTAATCACTGAAATATCAATGAAAATTGCAGGGCAACATAACACTGATACTCGAATATGGCGCTAGGTCAACAATGACTGGCGTGACTCACGGGCTCACAAGGCCGCCGCGTGACCCATCTATCGGACAATGCCATAACCATAAATTTGGTATGGACACGTCTATAACCCTCCCTCGTTTATAGGTCAACCCTGATTTTTTGACCAAAAAATCGTTAATTTATTATATTTACCTGCAGTAAAAACACTACGTCCTATAAACTGAGGCTCGACGTGCCTAAAACACCGAGTGCCGAAGGGAAATTGTTTACCATTTATTATTATAACACTTTACACTGAAACGCGGGTAGTATTTATTCAAGTCAATTAGGAGGGAATATTATTGTCTACAACAGTTTTTTAACTGAAAACCATTCGAAAAGCGATTACGGTAACATCTTTTGAACAACGAAAGAAAGCGCAAGTCATTGTTTTCGTCATGATTTTATCCCACTTTCCACTGTAATACGTATGTCATTTCAGCAAAAATATTACATTTCCATATTTATTTCTGAGAATATATTCATTCAGTCACAGTTAATGTAAAATATACTTGTGATGTAATATTTTAATGAAAATACCTGGTATTTAGAAATACGGTATCGTAGTTTTCTTTTGTTTCAAATTTAATTAACAAAGATTGATGTTTCAAATGCAATGAAAAAAAATTTATGTATCTATAAATAAACTTTAAAAATGAATACTTTATGTTTTACATAGTCCTGTGCTACCATACCATGCATTTGGCTACTTTGGGCTTGCTATGATGACGCAAGAGATCTGTCCTTGCAACTGTACCGACACTCACAGCTGGTGGTGCGTCGTTTCCATTGTTTACTGATAGTTACTGGTAAATATTTTTCAACCTAACGAAACTATTACCCGTTTAGAGGTCGACCCCCAATTTTTTGTCAAAAAATTTGGGGTCCACAAAACATGTAGCTATGTGTATGTATGTTTATTTGAGTGCCCCGTCATAGTAGTTTGTTTTCTCTCGCTTCAGGACGCCTGAGTCTTCCGTTTTCTCTTAATCTTAGAGAGCACTGCACCAGAGACTTCGTTATTCCTTAGTAATGACACAGAATTTGAAATTGCAACCCCAATTGCAACTGGGACAATCCCAGAACCAGAAATTTGATACGGACAGTTCAGATTTCGTCCGATTTATCCAAAATCCGGATTAAAGGGGTCCGAATTAAAGAGGGTCGACTGTACAGGCATCCCCTGTGTTTCGGAAGCCCGGGTTACGGAATTTCGCTCTTACGGAATTTGTAAATTATGACCAATAATTTCGCGTTACGGCCCGTAAATCCGCCCTTATGGAAATGGAATAAATTTTAACAATAAATAAAAAATTTACTATATAAAATTAAATTTTTTTGTTAAAACTGATAATTTGTTTTGTGTGGATTTCGTGGTGTTTGCTACCGCCAAGCGTGGTGTCGCCATGTGGAGTCACTCCATTGTTTACATCCAGTGTGTGCGCATGTTTAGCGCCCCAGCAGTTTGATTTAACTTTTACAAACATACAGTAAGTACAGTACAGTGCATTACCCTTATTCAAGATGACTGGAAAGAGGCCATCAAGTGGTAGTGACCGCAGTAGTGCAAAAAGAAGCCGCAAAGGCATTACATTGGATATCAAACTTGACGTTCTAAGAAGGTTTGATGCTGGAGAAAAATTTAGCCAGATTGCAAAAACATTAGGTCTTGCTACTTCAACAGTGGGAACAATCCGTGATAATAAGGACAAAATTAGGTCAAGTGCTCAAGCTGCTACTCCATTAACTGCTTGAACCTTGTATTTTCATCGAAGTGATGTGATGTTGAATATGGAACGACTCCTGAGTGTCTGGATTGAAGATCGGACTAAACACAATGTGCCACTAAACACTATGGTTATTCAACAGAAAGCCATCAGTTTATCTAATGATTTGCAGGAAGAGGAAGGGGCATCTTCTGAGGTTAAACCTTTTCTGGCTAGTAAAGGCTGCTTTGAAAGGCTTAAGAAGCGCCCTAATTTACACAACATCAAAATGAGCGGTGAAGCTGCCAGTGCTGATACAGATTCTGCTAGGAAATATCCTGCTGAGCTGAAGAAAATTATTGACAAAGGAGGTTGCACATCAGAACAAGTGTATAATGCTGATGAAACTGGGCTTTTCTGGAAGCTCATGCCTGCTAGAACTTTTATTTCCACTGAAGAAAAATCAGCACCACGCTTTAAAGCATCCAAAGATCGTCTCACACTTCTTGTGGGAGGAAATGCTTCAGGTGACATGAAATTAAAGCCCCTACTTGTGTATCACTCAGAAAATCCAAAGGCTTTCAAGGGCTATGCCAAGTCTAATCTACCTGTGATTTGGCATTCCAATAAAAAGGCTTGGATGACGATGACCCTTTTCCAAGACTGGTTCATTAACTTTTTTTGCCCTGCTGTAGAAAGATATTATGCCAGGCGTAACATATCGAATAAAGCATTGCTCCTCTTAGACAATGCACCAAGCCACCCAGTCAATTTAAATGATCTTTCTGATAATATGAGAGTGGAGTACATCCCCAAGAACACAACTTCCTTGCTGCAGCCAATGGATCAAGGTGTGATAGCTAACTTTAAGGGATATTATCTAAGGAAAACTTTTTTGCAGCTCATAAAAGCAATTGATGGGGAGGATAAACCTACAATTAGGGACTTCTAGAAAAAGTTCAACATTTTGGATGCTGTGGATAATATAGCCGAGTCATGGGATGAAGTGAAAACCTCAGCTATGAATGGTTCATGGAAAAACATATGGCCAGAGTGTGTCCATGAATTTCAAGGTTTTCACAAGATGAAAGTTTACAGCAAGTTCAACACGACATTGACACTTGCAAACAATGTCGGCTTCGAAGAAGTCATAGAAAATGATGTGGCTGAGTTCCTAGAGTCCCATAGAGAAGATTTGACTAATGAAGATCTGATGGTGTTGGAACAAGAGCGAGCTGTAGGACAAGAAGAGGATATAGAATCTCCACCCACCCCACTTCAGTTGACAACAAAGGATATGTCTGAAGGGTTTGCACTAATACAGGAAGGTCTGCAAATCTTTGCTGATAACGGCCCCAACCGTGAAAGGAGCATCAAGATTGCAAGAGCAGTTAACAATGCTCTCAGTTTCTACACTGAGCTGTACAACGAGAAGGTGCGCCGTAAACATCAAACAACTTTGGATGAGCTATTCACCCTCAGAGAAAAGCCGAAAGCAGATGATGAAGCAGATGATGATTTACAGGGCAGGGCAGAAGAGAGTAGTGCTCCTCCCTCTCCCACCCAATAACTCCCTTTGCACCACCTATCCTCACGCAGCAGTCAACATCTTTTGTGGTGAGTACAGTACAATATTTTTATTTATTCCAACTGTATTTCTCTTTATATTACATGTATATTATAAATTATTTAAAGTACTGTATTGTATGTGTTTGTAAATGTTTATTTTCATTCATAAAAGTGCTTGAATTACGTTTTTGGGGCCGAAAAAAATTCCGTAGGAACGCATCTCCAGTTTTATAATGGAAGTCAATGGGAAAATAGGTTTCGCATTACGGAATTTCGCGATACAGTCACTTTTTCAGGAACGGAACCCTTCCGTAATGCGAGGGATGCCTGTACTGTATGTGGGAGACTCAGGTGGTCCTTACACTCAGGGGTAAAGGAAACACACTGATGTCAAGTCCGTAAGTTCTATTTCTGGTACAAACACAAAAAGGAGTTAAGACCGGGGTAAACAGCGTCCTGTCTTGGAATCTCTCTGGGTATCTCTATCTGCGCATGCGCGTACAGCTCGCATGTGCCCAAAGCCTGAACTAACACTTGGTGACAAAAGGGAGTGTGATTATAAAACATATAATACAGAGACCTGAATCAATAATGGTAAATAGTACAGAGTTACATATTACAGCCATATTCGTCTCATATATCTACACTGTATTTTAAAAGAGGTGACATTTACTAAAACCTAATAGAACCTGACCTAACCAACCAAAGAAACCTATCAAACTTTACCAAACTTCAGAGTTGGGGGGGTGGGGGAGAGCTTTGTCCCCAAGACCCCCTTCTGTATTAAACAGAAAATACTAATTTTGACATCTGGTTAGGGTGGCCATTTCCAAAAAGGAGGATTTTTTTTTTGCGACACCTATTTTTGTACTTAAATTAAGTGTGTTTAATGATGAGTTGAAAATATATAAAAAGTTGTACTGTATAAAATATACAAAATATACTTAGAATAATCACTGCGCCATCTGGCGTGTTGTCAGATACCCAAAGAATGTTCTATACTACTGAGGGTATACACAAACACTTGTTGTCTTAAAAGTAGGTTCTATTCTCGTACGGGAGATATATATACAATAGGACGCAGAAGCTCGCGTTCACACGCCACGAGGACTCTGTCTTCTCTCTCTACATCTACCTATGTATTACTACGCGCTGGCCTGTACAGATGCCAGCATTCACAAGCTAAATACATAAAGTGTAAATGTGATAATTTATATACATAATATGGTGCACAATAAATAGAATATTACATAGAATTAATACATGTTCTGTAATACTTTACTATACATAATTAATGGAGTAATATAAGAGTAATATAATAATATACAGCTGAAGGTACTACTTTGTGTCCATATCATACACCTCCCTCCCCCCTATACGCTCATAGTTTCATCTTGAGCGGACCTTTTGTTTCTGAGTCGCTCTGACCTGCTGAGTACTGGGGCAGAAACACAAGGTGGGGATGGATTTACTTTAGAGACATCAACATTAGGGGACTCAACTGGGGAAGGGTCAACACTAGGCAGCTCCACAGGTCGGAGGAAACGACGGTTCCTCCACCATACTCTACCACTAGGAAGACGCACTTGGTAGTCCCTGGACCGGCCAATACCCATAACAACCCCAACCTTGTCCCAGCGGTGAGATACCGGATCTTGAATCCTGGTCTGCTGGCCAATACTCAACCTGGGAAGGGGGCGGGCATGACAGTCGTACCGAGCAGCGACATCTGCGGCTCGTTCTGCTGCACGGCGGTCACATTCCTCAGTCTTGGCCTGCCACTCTTGAGAAAAAGACTTCGGGTGGGCAGGAACACAAGACCTGAGATGATGTCCATATAGAACCTGGGCTGGGGAGCGTCCAGTGAAGTTCGGGGTGTTGCGTAACTCCAACAAACCTCGATCGAAGTCCTCGCAGTTGATATTTCCTGAGGGTGACACCTTAAGGATCAGGTGCTTCACAGTCTTGACTGCGGCTTCAGCGTGTCCATTCGCCTGGGGGTAGTGGGGCGAGGTCACGACGTGACGGACTCCCCAACGGTGCATGAAGTCCCGGAACTCGTGGCTGGTGAACTGAGGTCCTCCATCAGTCCTGAGGCGGAGGGGAACACCAACTTCTCTGAAGTAATGCCTGAAGTTCCGGATGGTAGCAGTAGCCGTTGTATCACTACCACAGGGGACGACAACAGGCCATCCAGACAGTCGGTCGGCAATTACGAGGAAGGACTTCCCTGCAACTGCAAAGAAATCGGCCGACACAGACTTGAAGGGTCTTGAAGGGTTGTCGTCGCACATTAAAGGTTCCTGTTGCTGGCTAGGTTGCAGAATCTGGCACGGTTCACAGGCACGGACGGTACTTGCAATGTCCGCGTCGATTCCGGGCCAAAATAGAGTCTGCTTCGCCCGTCGCTTGGTGGCCTCCACTCCTCGATGGCTGTCGTGAAGGCGGGTCAAGGTACGGCGGCGTAGGGCAGCAGGAATAACTACTCGTGGACCATACAAGACGAGGTCTCCGTCACAATAGAGATCCTCGCGTATTTTCCAGTACGGGAGTAGCGATTCATGAAGGTCGTATCGGTTAGATGGAAATCCCTGAGACACACAGTCGACGAGCCGGATGTAGGAAGGGTCGGCCCGGGCTGCGGTGCGGAGATCTTCAAGGGTCTTGTCTGCATCCAGTGCTGTAGACTCTTCTGATGTGAAGACGGCCTTCAATGAAACCACTGACTTGAGGGATGCCGCAGCTGTAGAACACAACATCTTGTCCTCTGGGGTGGGGCGACTGACAGGGGCGCGGGACAGGGCATCGGGGATGCACAACAGCTTACCCGCACACCACACAGCCGTGAAGAGATAAGGCGAGAGCTTCTCTTTCAGACGTTGAAGGCGAGGATTCTCTACTGCATCCAAAGAGTAGTGATTGATTATAGGTATAAGGGGGCGATGATCCGTGAAGAGGGTGAAGTGCTGAAGTCCTATCAGGTAGAAGCGGCACTTCGCCATCGCCCAGACAACAGCCAACATCTCCAGCTCAATCGTGGCATATCGGGTCTCGGCGTCCGTCAGGAACCGGGATCCACACTGAATTAAGCGGAGTTGTCCACCGCCATGGTCCTGCAGAAGGGCGTAACCAACGCCGTAGAGTCTGGAGGCGTCAGTCTGGAGGACGGTGGGTAGGGCTGGGTCGTAACAGGCGAGGACAGGTGGACTTACAAGGGCCTGCTTGACTCGCTGGAAGGCCTCTTGATGATCTGGGGTCCACAGGAATGTCCTCCTGGGGCTCAGCAGGGGGCGTAACGGCTGGGCTGCGGCGGAGATGTCAGGTGTGAATTCAGCCAGCTGATTGACCAGACCCAAAAAAGAACGGAGGTCTGTCAGGTTGGCAGAGGTTGGAAAATCCCTGATTCCACTTACTTTCTCCGGGTCAGCTGCGATGCCTGATGCTGAGAGAGTGTACCCACAGAAGTTCACTGATGGAGCGGCGACTACAAACTTGTCAGCGTTGAGGGTAATCCCGTACTTCCGACATCTGGTGAGAACTTCGTATATCCGAGAGAGGTGGGCACAGTAGTCTTCGTCGTGGAGTAAGATATCATCAACCACCTTGACACAATTCGTGACTCCTTGAAGGGCCGCGTCACCACGTTGACAGAATGCATCCCCCGTAGCGGCAAATCCCATTGGGCCTCTGCAATACTGGTATCTTCCAAATGGTGTGATGAATGTAGTCAAATGCTGGTCTTCCTCGGCCAACTCGATCTGCCAATAACCACATAAGGCGTCCATAGTTGTAAAAAACTTCGCCTTCGGGTCCACACTTCGAACAGCTGCGAAGGGTGTGGGTGAAGGATGGGCTGGACGGGAAACTTGCTGGTTAAGTTTTGATAGATCGGTGGTGATCCGTACTCCACCACGAGGTTTGGCGACGGGGACGAGAGGGTGGCACCAAGGTGAAGGTTCGTCTCCGGCCGGTTTGATGATTCCCTGAGCAACCATGGAGTCAAGCTCTTGTCTAACTAGCTCCTTGTAGGCGTGAGGAATCAAACGAGGGGTGTGGATGGCAAAAGGTGTAGCACCATCCTTAAGATGAATCTTCATAGGTGGACCCACCATCGGCTTGAGTGGTGTGGATCCTAAAGATTTCTTATTAACCAACACGTCAGCAAACTCCTTGAGAAGGTAAGCTCTTGCGTCAGAAGGGGACGTGTTAGTAGAGATAGGGAATTCCTTCAACCTGTTGACATGGGTGATCTTTAAAATAGGTTTAGGGAATTCCTTGGAAATAATGGCCAACTCTTGACAATGGCCATATGATAAAAGCGGAGTCGGGATACCATTATGAACATCAATCCGGGCTGAGCAAGACTGCTTACCAAAGGTAAGGGTAGCCCAGAAAGATCCCAAAGCTGGAGCCATCTTGGAACCATCAGCTGTCAGTTTCGTTGTCTGAGGAGGGGGCTGTAGGTTGCTCCGGGGTATTCCCAAACTTGCTAAGTGTTGTGGACCAATTACTGAGACGTCAGCACCGGTGTCAAGTAACATCTGAAGACTGGATGACGAGTTACCGTAAGAAATGACGACATTGATGTGCTAGGGCGTCGTGTCTGTGGAACTATGTACACGACGGCAGGAACGACTGGACACAGCGTCTTGATGCTTGCCAGAAGGAGGCGGCGCGCCAGCACTACCTGAGGATGACTTCTTGGATCCTAGGTGGCGTCCTTTATGTGTCTTCTTAGAACATTTGTCATAATGGCCCACACGACCACAAAGTCTGCACTGAACTTTGCTAGCAGGGCACTTGACTGTATAAGCCCAGTGACCCTGGCGGTCGCAACTTCTGCACACGCTTTGAGCAGCTGGGCACTGGGAGGCATTATGCTGTCTCACACAGCTGTTACACAAAGCTGCTGCTGAAGGTGTAGCTGGAGGGTGAGGGGTGGGGTTACTTTGCTGCTTCTTACCCTTTCTGCAGGAAGACACCGCCCTCACCTGGTCAGGT